TAACTTCATATGGGTAACTTTATATGAGAATATGGGATGAAAAAGTGAAGAAGTTCTAGACTATAAACTTTAAAAATAGCAATATTTAAAGAATGGCTTTGGAAGAGGTGAAAGTGGCTTCAAGAAAAAGGAACATAGCAAGGTTTGGTAACACAAGAACTTGTGGATGAGTGCTCTATGGAATATACTGAGTTGTTAGATATTTGGCATGTGCTTTAGACATACACTGTTAACCTTGAAAAAAAACAATTGAAATGGAGATAGAAGAGTTGCAGAGGATTGACTAGGGTCAAAGGCCTTGGTGAGCTTAAACGTTGAATGTCAATATGAGGTTTTAGGTGAAGAAGAGGGAAGGGGTTTGGTTTTAGTTTTGGATATCAATTTTAAGTTTGAAACTGATGGGAAACAAGAGAACTAGCTAATGATACAATCCTGGAAAGGGAGGGGAATCGATCTGGGTTTCAAAGATATAGCATTTGGGATTTAGAAAACAGGATGAGACATATCCTATAGATTATAATAGTAAATAAAAAGAACTGATTTAGGTAACTTTACATTTTGTAGCTTGGTAGAATTAAGAAATGGAAGGAAACCAAGAAATGTTAATTTTTGGTTCACTGATTTTAGCATTGGTTTAATTAATTTCTATTATATTCCTCTATGCATATGTGTCTTTTCTATCTAATTTATTGGTTATTAGGGATTGAACCCTAGGCTTTGGCACATGTTAGGCAACCACTTGAGCTATATCCCTAGCTTCATAATATAGTCTTTCTTATTGAGAATATTACACTTTGGAAGAAATACTTAAATCCAGTCCTTCCCATATGTATACACATACTTATATAATATTGGGAAATGTTTTTAGAATTGTTTTCAAATGAAGACTTTAGATTATGGCTTTATTTTTTTCTGTGTAATCAGGGGTGGCCCTCTGTCTGAAAATCACTTGGTATATGACAGGGCTAGATCACATATGTTTCTTTTTGGTTGTTGATAGTCTGTATGTCCCTTGAATGCTTTCATAAATATGCAACTAGTCCTTGGAGAGAAGATTCCCTTGCTGGAATGTTAAATCTACTATTGGAGGTGACTAATAAAACAACATTTCTGTGAATTCCCAACTACCGAATGTTTGATCATATGTTAGTGTGTGTAAGTGTGTGTTTGTTCATGTGTGTGTTCCTGGGGCTTGAGTGTTGGGCCTGGGTGATGTCCCTGAGGATTTTTTGCTCAAGTCTAGCACTAGATCTACCACTTCAGTTACAAATAAACTTTTTGAGAGTTAATTTTAGATAAGTGTCTCATGGACTTTGAACCCTGGCTTTGAAGGGTTTGAAGGCTGGCTTTGAACCCTGATCCTCAGATCTCAGCCTCCTGAGTAGCTAGGATTACTGGCAGGAGCCATAGGTACCAGGCTTTTATCTTTTCCTTCCTTCCTTCCTTCGTTACTTACTTACTTTTTTGTGCCAGTTATGGAGCTTGAATTAGGTTTTTTGTTTAAGGCTTTCACTTTCCCACTCAAACCACACCCATACCTCCACTTTTGGCTTTTTGCTGGAGGTAGAAGAATCTCATTGACTTTAGTGTTCAGTATGATTTTGAACTGTGTTCATCAGAACTTAGCCTCTTGAGTGTCTACGATTATAGACATGAACCATTGGCACCTGGCTCTGTTGCTAGATTCTGTATACATGAGTTGAAAAACACATTTTTTTTTTCTGTTGCCATGAGTTCTTTGAGTTTGCAATATGGTGGATACAGTAGAGGATGAATGTTCCCACTTTCTTGTTTTTGCTTTCTTGTAAACATAAAATGTTTAATGGTGGCCAATTATCTCTAATGTTAAATGACACTTTTAATAATAATATTGAACTTAATGGATTCTTTCCAATTACTTTTGTAAAAGTGAAATTAGGATTAGTTTGTAATGCATCTGATTTAGATTAATGGAAGATAGTAAACTGAGTGTCAAACTCAAGAGAATTTGTTTGGGTTGAAAAGAAAGGCATTTATAAACAATGGCTAATGCACAGTAGAAAGGAGGATTAAAAGTGTGATGAATCAAGGATTTGTTTGTAATTTCATTTTGAAGCTTAAAAAAAAAGGACTTTGTACTCCTACCTCCACTTACTCACGGAAAGAGGGGTTTTAGCTGAGATATCTGTCACTTTCTTTGCCACAATTAATTCAACTGCTTTGTTTTGGCTGCACAAGGCATATCTCTTTTTTTTTCTTCTGTTTTTGCCCTCTCACCTTCTCCTGAGTTCATGTCACTAGGTATAGGCATTCTGTTGAAGCTTAGGGGTACACAGCTATCTGCACATACCACCACCGCAGCAGTACTGGGGTCATCCTATTATCTTATCTGTACTCTCTCAAGACTTACCTTGCTATAAAGCTGCTCATTTATAATTGTCAGATGTTCATTGTAGGAATCAGATTTGTAAGCTTAAGAATCTACAGTGAAAAGGTGGGAAAACAGCAAAGCAATTGGTGGTTACATGGGCTACTTGCCTAAGTAACTTAGGCTGAACACATTTCTATGAGGCTAAAGAAAAGTTTCTCTTCAGTCTTTTGCAGCCACTGTTTTGAGAAATCAACTCCTTTTGTCATACAAAGTTTTAAGGAATTAAAACAATACTTGAAAAGGTAAATAATTCAAATTATCCAAAAACGTAACTTACTTTGAGATACAAAATATTCCTATGTGCAGCTAATCATTTATAACAAAACTGTATAATCAACATGGAGAACTGTATACTATATGAAAGGCTATTTTAGACATTAATTTTCATTTACTTCTCCCTCCCTTCCCCCTTTTCTTCAGCATAATACGAGGGCCTTGCTTACTAAACAATGGAGCAGGTGTTCTATCTGTCTCTCTCTCTCTCTCTCTCTCTCTCTCTCTCTCTCTCTCTCTCTCTCTCTCTAGTCACTCCTAGGGCTTGAACTCTGGACCTGGGCCCTGTCTCTTAACTCTTCAGCTTAAGGCTATGCTCTACCACTTTGAGCCATAGTGCTACTTCTAGTTTTCTGCTAGTTAATTGGAGATGAGGATTTCCTGGGCTTTCCTGCCCAGGCTGGCTTTGAACGGCAGTCCTCAGATCTCCTCCTGAGTAGCTAGGATTATAGGCATTAGCCACTGATGCCCGGTGACATTATTTTTTATTCTTTGCAGACCAGGGGTTGAATATAGGGCTTCATGCATGATAGGCAAGTGGTCTACCACTGAAGTATATTCTCAACTTAAGACTTTTTATTGACAAAATTAACTGTTTTATAATTGAAAGCCACATTATAAATTATACCAAAGTTAACATTTTCTGGAAATTATTAATGTTGTATTCCAAATAATAATACAGTGAATATGTACCTTTAGAGATTGACATGCAGATTTGAAATGGAAGATCAATTAACTTAAATAGAAATAATTACAATACTAATGCATTGAATATAGGCTAATATACATGTACTATTGTGAATGAAGTCATAAACAAACTTAGTTCTTTTTGATTAAGTTAGTTTTGAATTTTTGTGGTACTGAAGTTTGAACTATCCTTCAGTCCAGCTGAAAAACTATGTTTTAGAGTATCATTGAATAATAAACTGTTCATAATCAAAGAATATACATTAACAGAAATTAAATTTTGTGCTCTGTCCACTTTTATTTCCTGTCTTTTTTTGGGGGTCCAGTCGTGGGGCCTGAACTCTGGGCCTGAGTGCTATCCCTCAGCTCTTCAGCTTAAGGCTAGTGCTCTACCACTTGGGCCACAGCGCCACTTCCGGCTTTTTTCTTTTTGCTTATGTGGTGCTGAGGAATTAAATCCAGGGCCTTGAGCATGCAAGGCAAACGCTCTACCACTGAGCCACCTTCCCAGCCCCTATTTCCTGTCATATTGTTACAAGTAAAAACAATTGGGAACAGTATTGTGTAAGCCTTTAGGCATAGGATTTCATTTATTTTTATTTATTTATTTTTATATTTGCCAATCCTGGGGCTTGAATTCAGGGCCTGTGCACTGTCTCTAAGATTCTTTTGGCTCAAGGCTAGTACTCTACCACTTGAGCCACAGCACCACTTCCAGTCTTTTCTGTTTATGTGGTTCTGAGGAATTTGAACCTAGGGCTTCATGCATGCTAGGCAAGCACTTTACTACTAAGCCCCATTCTTCGCCACTTTATTTATTTATTTATTTTAAAGATTAAAAACCTAGCTTAAGATACTGTGGCATATTGTAGGTTGTAGTTCCAAAGAATTTGTATCTTTTTACATTCCCACCACTAGTGGGTGAGAGAGAGTTCCATTCCATATCCCTTTAAACACTTGGGAATGGCAGGTTATGGTGGTGCATGCCTGTATCTCTATTATTTTGTAGGCTAAGAAGGGGGATTTATGACTACAAGGCCAACCCAGTGAGTTCCAAATCCAGACTGGGCTATATAGTGAGATCCTTTATCAAGATGAAAATTAAACCAGTATCCTGTCTCTATGAAAACAAACAATCCCCTTGGCATGATCAATTGAAAAACTATTTTAAAAACAATTTCCCTTCATTATCTATGTTTTTACAAGTATAGATAAGTATAATTTGGGAAAAGTACAAATTGTGCCAAATAGGTACTAATTTCTTTTTTCTTTCTTTCTTTTGCTGGTCCTGGGGTTTGAACTCAGGACCTGGGGACTGTCCCTGAGCCTCTCTGTGCTCAAGGCTAGTGCTCTACCACTTGAGCCACAGCATCCCTTCTGGCTTTTTTGAGTAGTTTATTGGAGATAGGAGTGTCACAGGGACTTTTCTGCCCAGGATGGCTTCAAACCACGATCCTCAGATCTAAGCCTTCTGAGTAGCTAGAATTACAGGTGTGAACCACTGGTGCCCTGCATGATTTTTAAGTTAATTAAAATAAAGGTTATAGTAAAAGATGGTTTGCTACAAATATTGGAGCAGCTAATTTTATAATGTGTATACTTGTTTTAACATATGTTTTTCCTTTGATAGAGTTTTCCAGAAAAGGACCTTCTGCACTGTCCATCTAAAGATGCAATTGAAGCTCATTTTATGTCTTGTATGAAAGAAGCTGATGCTTTAAAGCATAAAAGTCAAGTAATTAATGAAATGCAGAAAAAAGATCACAAGCAGCTTTGGATGGGACTACAAAATGGTAACTAATATACTGTATAAACTAAGAATGCTATTTTATAAAATATGATAAAACTAAGTAATTTACACATTTAAAAATAGATGGCAAGCTGGGCGCCAGTGTCTCACGCCTGTAATCCTAGCTACTCAGGAGGCTGAGATCTGAGGATCATGTTTTTTTTTTCCTCCTGTATTTCTTTTTAAAATATTTTTAAGTAGTTGTACAAAGTCACAAACACATTTTAACCTTCACAAGGCAAATTGTCATTAGCATGGTCTACACAGTGTGTGAGTTCTATGAGTTTTGACAATACAAGTAGGAACATGATTTAAAGCCAGTCCACGCAGGAAAGTCCATGAAACGCTTATCTCCAATAAACCACCAGAAAACTGGAAGTGGCACTTTGGCCGTAGTGATAAAGGGCTTTTCTTGAACTGAAGAGCACGGGGACAGTGCCCAGCCCCAGAATTCAAGCCCCATCACCACCAACAACAACAAAAAATAGAAAAATGTCACAAGTTAAATCTATCCTCCATGACCAAATTTGTACACTAGGTACTTTTTTATTATCATTCACACACACACATGTCCTTCAGTGCATTTTCTAATTTTTTTTTGCGGGGGGGGGGGTCCAGTCATGGGGCCTGAACTCTGGACCTGGGCACTGTCCCTCAGCTCTTGAGCTCAAGGCTAGCACTCTACCACTTGAGCCACAGCGCAACTTCCGGCTTTTTTCTTTTTGCTTACATGGTGTAGAGGAATCGAACCCAGGGCCTCATACATGTCAGGCAAGCGCTCTACCCCTGAGCTACCTTCCCAGCCCCTATTTTCTAATTTTTTAACCTAGTACTTAAAACAGCATAAACTTTGTGTGTAGCTTCCCCAGCTGTATGGTTCAAATTTCCATTGCTATATTTAGTATAAATATTTACATTTAATACAACTTTATTGCTCTTAGGTCCAGTAACCTTACATACAACATGTGTTAGTGGTCATTGTTGCATCATATTACATCTTAGTCTCTGTTGGTCCATTATGTAGATGTTATTTTATTCATGTCATTTGCAGACAGCAAAATATGTAATTGTGTTGCTTGTTTCAGTTGTCATTTTATAAAATAAATAATTAGGGGCTGGGAATGTGGCTCATTGGTACAGTGCTTCCCTCACATGCATGAAGCCCTGGGTTCAATTCTCAGTAGCTCATACACAGAAAAAGCTGGAAGTGGTACTGTAGCTCAAGTGTTAGCCTTGAGCAAAAGCAGCTCAGGGACAGTGCCCAGGCCCTGAGTTCAAGCCCCAGGACTGGCCAAAAAAAGGGAAAAAAAGGCCGGGTGCTAGTGGCTCACACCTGTAATAGCTGTTTAGGAGGCTGAGATCTGAGGAAGCCAACCATGGTAGGAAAGTATATGAGGCTATTAGTTCTGATTAACCAGCAAAAAGCAGGAAGTAGAGCTGTGACTTTAGTGGTAGAGTGTGAGGCTTAACCATAAGAAGAGACAGTGCCCAGGCCCTTAGGCTGGTATCACCAAAACATTTCTGGTCTGGGAAGGTGGCTCAGTGGTAGAGTGCTTGCCTTGCATGCATGAGGCCCTGGGTTGGATTCCTCAGCACCACATAAGCAAAAAAGCCAGAAGTGGCACTGTGGCTCAAGTGGTAGAGTGCTAGCCTTGAGCTGAAGAGCTGAGGGACAGCGCCCAGGCCCAGAGTTCAGGCCCTACGACCGGACTCAAAAAATAAAAATTAAAAAAGAAATAAAACAAAATAAAACATTCCTTTCTTCCTCCTCTCCTTCCCATTCCTTCTCTTCCCTCTCCCTTTTTCCCCCTCACCCTTTCCTCTCTTCCTTTTCACCCTTTCTCTCTTCCTTTCTCTTCTTCTCTCTCCCCCTCTTTTCTTTTTTTGTGCCACTCCTGGGGCTTGAACTCAAAGATTGGTCAGTGCTCTACAACTTGAGCCATAGCTCCACTTCTGGCTTTCTGATATTTAACTGGAGATAAAAGTTTCAAGGACTATCCTGTCCTGGCTGGCTTCCAACCTTGATCCTCAGATCTCAGCCTAAGGAGCACCTAGGATTATAAATTTAAGCCACCAGTGCACGGCTTAGTTTCACATTAATGTAGTACTTTATTTTCATATTAATTATCTTCAATAGATAGTGTTGGTCTTAGTTAAAAATAATAGATATCAGTTCCTTTATTGTAGTTCTTATGTCACCAGAAAACATTAAGAATAACTTAAAATAGTTTAAAAATGCTATAATAGTTGTGGAATTGTTTGAATTTATGAATAAGAATTTCTTAGTTGTAAAGTCAAAGATAACTTCACCTTTTTGTAGTAGAATTAATAATTTGCAATAATCAAGACAAAACAGATGGTAATTTGATTTTACTCTGTATTGCACCTGTATACTATAACAAGTAAACAGAAACTTCAACAAGTTTTGAATACTTTCATATGCTAATTTTAATTTCAGAAGCTCTCTGGAGGTGAAATAAGAAAAGCTTATGAAACCAGGAAAACTCATTTAAGATAGACCGTGCCTTTCAGGATTTGTTGTGGGCTTTCATTTCAGATATAAAAATATACAGCCTCTCTGTAAAATAGCCACAAGAAAGAAAGTAGCATTTTTATTTCTGAGGTAGTTGTCACTAATTATGCAGGCTATTTTCTACTTAATGTCATTTTTTAAAATGAGTTAGAAAATTGAGGAAATCCTTAAGAGAAAATTTTTTTTAATTTTTTTGGGGGTCCAGTTGTGGGGCCTGAACTCTGGGCCTGGGTGCTGTCCCTCAGCTCTTCAGCTCAAGGCTAGCACTCTACCACTTGAGCCACAGCTTCACATCCGTCTTTTTTCTTTTTGCTTATGTGGGTGCTGAGGAATCGAACCCAGGGCCTCATGCATGCAAGGCAAGCACTCTACCACTGAGCCACCTTCCTAGCCCCTTAAAAGAAATTTTTTAACCTGACTTATTTTAACTTAATGACTTATCCCTATATTCATGAGTACATATTTTTAACAAAATACAAAAAAATCTTAAGTTCCATGTTCTTGCAAGTAAAGGCAAAGCTTGACTGTTAAATATGTTAAAAGCTTCCATTATTTTTAGTGGATATTAGTTTAATTAAAATTAAATTAAAAAAATTTTTTTTGGGTCCAGTCGTGGGGCCTGAACTCTGGGTCTGGGGGCTGTCCCTCAGCTCTTCAGCTCAAGGCTAGCACTCTACCACTTGAGCCACAGTGCCACTTCCAGCTTTTTTTGTTGTTGTTATTCTGCTTATGTGGTATGAGGAATCGAACCTAGGGCCTCATGCATGCAAGGCAAGCGCTCTGCCACTGAGCCACCTTCTCAGCTCAATGTAAGTCCAATTTTTTTGGGGGGGGGTCGGTGGTGGGGCTTGAACTTTGGGCTTGGGCACTGTCCATGTGCTCTTTAGCTCAAGGCAAACACTCTAGCGCTTGAGCCACAGCACCACTTCCTAGAATTAAATTTTTAATTTTAATGCCATGTCATTTTATTTTTGAGATAGGGTCTCTGACCGTGACCTTGAACTCATTACCCTTCTGCCTCTACCTTCAGAGTTCTATGATTACATGAGGTGCCAGTATTGCCACTTCAAGCTTTCTAAGGGGAAATAGTGATTATGTGTAACAATTCAAAATATTTAGAAAACAGATAGGTTTGATAGGTAATAGATAAATGTAGGTGCCCCAGCCCTTTTCAGGCTTGTATGCTAGACAAGTATATTGTCATTACACTTCTTTTATTTCATTATTGGTTTATAGAAGCATAGGTATTCTGAGATAGAGGGCTGGACCTCTCATTTACTGTTCTATGGACTACCTTTATTAATCCACAGGACATAAAATCTCTCATAGGACTTAAGTTCAAGCACTGGTAAACAGTGATGACACACACTTAAAAAAGGTACCATGTGATTTTTTTTGGTTGTTGTTGCTTTGTATGTCCCTTCCCTATGGTATAACCCCTGTTTTCACTGTATTTGATGTTGGTAAAATTGGGGGAGGGCAAGGGAGAAAAACAAATTGAATTCAGGACCTTCCTCTCTTGCTTAGCTTTTTTGCTCAAGCTGGCACAATAACCACATCTCCACTTCAGGCTTTTTGCTGATTAACTGGAGATAAAAGATTCATGGACTTTTCTGCTAGGGCTGCCTTCAAACTGCTATCCTTAGATCTCATCCTCCTGAGTAGCTAGGATTTCAGATATGATCCACCAATGTTCACCTGATGATTAGTTTATTTTTTTCAAATTTATTTCGTGATGAATAATTACCATTAGTTTCTTTCCCTCCCCCTTCTTTTTGAGGAGGATTTAGGTAGATTATAGTTAGTAACTTGCCAGAAATAACTGTAATATTATATAAAAATTGCCAACACACAAACAGTGTAGCTACTGCCTGTATGTGTATCTTTTTATTTATTTATTTTGTTGATCATGGTACTTGAATTCTGGGCTTGAAAGTTGTCCCTCAGCTCTTTAGCTCAAGGCTACTCTACCACTTGAGCCACATCACCACTTTTGGTTTTTCTGAGTAGTTTATTGGAGATGAGAGTCTTATGGTCCTGCCTAGGCTGGCTTTGAACTGGGATTCACAGATCTCAGCCTCCTGAGTAGCTAGGATTACAAGCATGAGCCACCAGCGCCTGGCTCCTTGTATTGTTTTTGTAGTGCTTGATTCTTGCGACGTTTCTGATATAATAAGAGGAGGAGGAAGGACCAGCGAATGTATTATGTATGGAGAAGTATAATATATAATTTGGCCAGAACTATAACAAAAATGATATAAATAAAATGCTAAGATTAAAGACAAAATTAGAATGAAAAGCTAGTTATTGAATGTTTCTGAGAAGCTAAGCAAAAAATGGCAGCTATTAGGAAGCAGAGATGTGGAGTTTAATGATTACCGGTGTATTGCTGAGTATGTATTACAGAAAACGTAAGAATTTCAAAACTACATAGATTTAGTCAAAAGTTAGACACGATCCTTAGGTCTCATTCTCCTGAGTAGCTAGGATTATAGGCGTGAGCCATCAGCACCCACTGTATGATTATCTTAAAGCTACCATTACTATGATTTTTTTTTACAGTGCCAGCTAGTCTAGTTGTATGTATTATAGGAGACTCCTTATATAATAATAGCTTTACCGTGGGGGAGGGACATACAAAGCAACAAAAAATATCACTTTATGAATACATTAGGAACAATAGCAAGGAAGAAAAAACCACTGTGTCCTTATCTTGAGGTTCATTTCGCCTAACATCATCTTATCTGACCTTTTCTGCTTGTCTCAGACATATACTAGTTATTGCAAATAAGGGAAATGATGGGACCCATATTTCTTTGGGCCTAGGACACAAGGGGTGTTTTCTTTCTTGCTATTGTTTCTAATGTATTTATAAGATGATTTTTTTTGTTGCTTTGTATGTCCCTCCCCTATGGTATAACCCTTGTTTTCACTGTATTTGATGTTAGTAAAATTTGGGGAGGGCAAAGGAAAAAACCAAATTGTTTAAATAGGGATACAGGTGAACCCATTGCAACAATGAGATTACAAGATGCTATGTTTAAAAATTAACTTTATAACTTTTTGGGGGGGTTAGGGGAGTATAGTTATGGAGAGGAGGGCAGGGATGGTAGGGGAAAAACAGGAGGAGGCAACAATCCTTGATAAGAAATGTACTCATTAACTTGCTCATGTAATTGTAACCCTCTGTCTGGTATTTTCACAATAAAAAACTTATTAAATAATAGCTTTATGGAGTAAAACTGTCAGTAGGAGGCATAAGAACTCTTCTTGAACTTGTCTGAAAAATAGATATTTGATGTGTGTGTGTGTGTGCATGTGTGCGTGCGCGTGCGCGCACATGCGTGTGTATACCTGTGCACATGCTAGTCCTGTGGCTTGAATTCATGGCTTTAGGTACTGTCCCTGAGCTTCTCTAGCACTCTACCACTTGGGCCACAGCTCCACTTCTGGCTTTTTCTGTAGTACTGAAGAATCTAACCCAGGGCTTCATGCATGCTAGTGAAGTACTCTAACCACTAAGTTACATTCTCAGCCCTACTTTTATTTTTAAAGACTTTTTAAGACAGTCTTTGAACTTCATATCTCCTTTCCTCTGTCTTCTATTTGCTGAGTTTACAGGCATGGCCACTATGCCTGGCTCAAAAATCCCAATTTTTGATTATTTCTAATAATCAAAATAATTTCTAATACTGAAATCTTGGAGCTGCTTACTTGCTAGAGAGAGTTAATTCTGATTACAATTTTGAGTGTAAAATGTTACTTTGTTAAAATAATATATTCTTGGATTCTGGGTGAGCCAGTAAGTTGCTTTAAAACAGGATATAGGAAAAGAGAAAGTACATTGTCAAATCAGAATATGAAAAAAAAAA